GGATACACACAGGAAATGGATGAGCTCTCAACTTTACAGCAACAAGGAGCTCATAATGTTGCCTGGCTGCGCCTGCAAAGTAATGTGCTGGCCGGGCAAATTAGATGTCCGCGAGGCCCTAGGCGACTGTTAATTTGCCTAAATGAAGAGCCGCCTCTGCCCTCAGCCTCACCCAATAGCTCTGCTCAGGAGCTTTCCTGCAAATGATCATTTCCGAATTATATGAGTTTCTGAGGCTGATGTCACAGCGAAAAAACCTCTAAAATCTACAGGAAGAACATACAGCTGGTTGTGTGCCACGCTTATCCAGCCGGTGTTTTACCTCCCTGCTGTGTCCCATATAGCAACCATGTGACATTGGCCTAAGAGATGAGTAATGGGATCGGTCCAGACAGAAGATGAGAATTTCACTGTTTGGTCGATGGCGAGAGTTCCCTGACAATCTCTCCTATCTCTTGGGAACTCTATTAAGGAGATCTCTGCTCTGAGTTCTGGGGTCTGCACACCTGCTGTACCCATTACGAGGGGCTCCCGCCATCCCTGTGCTGAGTGCCCGGTTCTGTACCCCCGCTGTGCCCATTACAAGGGGCTCCCGCCATCCCTGTGCTGAGTTCCCGGTTCTGCACACCTCCTGTGCCCATTACGACGGGTTCCCGCCATCCCTGTGCTGAGTTCCCGGTTCTGTACCCCTGCTGTGCCCATTATGAGGAGCTCCCACCATCCCTGTGCTGAGTGCCCGGGTCTGTGCCCCCGCTGTGCCCATTATGAGGGGCCCCCGCCATCCCTGTGCTGAGTGCCCGGGTCTGTGCCCCCGCTGTGCCCATTATGAGGGGCCCCCGCCATCCCTGTGCTGAGTGCCCGGGTCTGTGCCCCCGCTGTGCCCATTATGAGGGGCCCCCGCCATCCCTGTGCTGAGTGCCCGGGTCTGTGCCCCCGCTGTGCCCATTATGAGGGGCCCCCGCCATCCCTGTGCTGAGTGCCCGGGTCTGTGCCCCCGCTGTGCCCATTATGAGGGGCCCCCGCCATCCCTGTGCTGAGTGCCCGGGTCTGTGCCCCCGCTGTGCCCATTATGAGGGGCCCCCGCCATCCCTGTGCTGAGTGCCCGGGTCTGTGCCCCCGCTGTGCCCATTATGAGGGGCCCCCGCCATCCCTGTGCTGAGTGCCCGGGTCTGTGCCCCCGCTGTGCCCATTATGAGGGGCCCCCGCCATCCCTGTGCTGAGTGCCCGGGTCTGTGCCCCCGCTGTGCCCATTATGAGGGGCCCCCGCCATCCCTGTGCTGAGTGCCCGGGTCTGTGCCCCCGCTGTGCCCATTATGAGGGGCCCCCGCCATCCCTGTGCTGAGTGCCCGGTTCTGTACACCTGCTTTGCCCATTACGATGAGTTTCCACCATCCTGGGGCTGAATTCTCGGGTCTGCCAGGGGCTAATATCTCCATGCTGACCCTATAACTGAAGATAACCAAGCAAACATTGGCAGAGAGATGTAATGCAGTTTCTTGGCGATGTGGGAGGAGCTCCATCTGCTGCCAGCTTCCTATAGCAGAGCCTCTGGAGGTCAGGTGACTCAAACAATGTCTTTTACCTGTATGTTGAATGAAGGAAAAGTAACATTTTTATGTTAGTAGATATCTGAGTTGAACATTTCTGTCTCGTTGATGCAGGTGCGGGGGGATTAGCTGCCTCCACAGTGGCCGACGCAATCCTCGATGGTTTGGTGGAATTCATCAAATCTAAATCAGTCGGTTCGCTTCAGACGGTGAAAGTGGTTCTATTCCAGCAACATATGCTGAATGATTTCTACATGAGCATGAAGAAGAGAGAGGGGACAGCCCTGCCCGAAGCCAAATCCTTCCTCACTAGACTCACCAGTGAGTACAATATGGCTGACCCAGAGAGAACAAGAGAGGGGAAGAAACATTTCTGTTATAGGAGGTTCAGTATCCTGGAAGAGAGAATGTGAGATTGAAGCGTCACACTGTGAAGTTTATTCCAATGATTGATTATTTGCAAAGCCAACACGTTTTGGGGGCTGTAAATTCACCCCCTTCATCTGGGTTTAATGGAACGAAGCAAAGATACAGTGTACAGTATGTGGACTCAATCATCAGTTTAGTTTAGGGACTGCAAAGTCCTAAGACTCTGCAAAGATCCAACTATATTAGAAAATGAGTACCCAGATCTGGAAGAAAGAAACTGATTAACACAGCACTATGCTGTGCATGGGCCCCCAAAACTCTGTTTAGCAACCACATCAATGAGTATGTGGAATCATCTGGATACAGTTATGCAAAAAAAGATAAAGAGACAATGGCAGCCTCCTATGAGTCCCTATTATATACATGTGTCATGTGACATACTGAGGTGAACATATATGGGTTGTAGTAGTTTTGGTGGTGTGGCAGTGTAAGCCAACGCCACGGTGTAGTTTGGCAACTATGGCACCCACGACTCTAGCCAGCTCAGTGTGAGAGAGTCGTGTGGGTGCAGGAGGCACAGGGCCACAGCAGACTCAGGTGTGTGCTGGACACGCATGGAACAGCCAGGGGAGGCTGGGAGAGGTCGGGAAGGTGAGAGAGCAGAGTGAGGGCCCACGAGGGGTCAGCAGTGTTAGGAGCTGTGGAAAGCTACTGAGCAAAACTAAAGACTGTCATTTATGTTGCTGCAGACAAGCTGATTATTATGAGAATGTTGGCTCTTGAGGGGAGGTCTACCCTGTTGTTGGAAAATACTTTTTGTGTTTGCCCTTAATAAAGCTGTGTTTTACCTGAATTTCCTGACTACAGTTGAGTGTCCTTTTTACAGTGGTTGGACCAGCGTAGGTCGCCCTGCGTTTAGAGTCAGCGTAGAGACATTTGAGAGGACAGTTCAATTACTAATGTCTAAATTTTTCATATGGGATCATCTGACTGATTAATGTTTTCCACTGAACTTCCATAGGGGCGGGGGGGGGATCCATTTAATGGCTACAGCTTATCGGACCAGAAAGAGTATTCTAGAGTAATGTGACCTTGAAAATGACTTCTTGAAGTGACATGGCCGTGTTATTATGAGACTTTAGTGATTGGGTTTATATCTACTTCAATCAGTGAACCAATCGTCATGAAATGATCTTTATCCCGCACATCCACGCAGTTCTTCAGCTGAAATGCACATTATCCAGACCTGGTCTGAATCCTGTTTATAAAGTGACTATTCCCAATTTAGATTTTCTCTCTCAGTTTGTGACTTCATTTTGTCTTTTCTTCCCCTTTAGAATTGTTTATGTCATCAAAAGCACAGAAGCGGGTTCAGAAGCTGACGGCCTTCCAGCTGGTAGATGGCATTGAGCCTGTGGTGTTCAGCTTATGTGCTGAAGATAAAAGTGACGTGGAAAGGACCAAGGCTTGGCTTCAGGCGCAGATAGAATTCGAGCAGTCGGAGAAGGTGATCCGAGAGGAATGTATCTCTGAACTAGAAGAAGCCGAGGTGAAGAAGTTCTCCGACCTCCAGAAAAAGTTTCAGGTCTCGGTGATTTACAAACCTCCCGACCCCTCCATCCGGATCCTGGGCCTCACCCGGGACGTAATGGCCGTGTCCGGGGAGATCGAAACGATTATAAACCGAGTAAAAGACAGAAAGAAGAAGGAGAGGACAGCCGAGCTCACCGGTAATCTGGTGGAATGGAGATACGAGACCGCAGGGATTATGGTTGCCTTCAACAAGATGATAAACCTGGAGCTGGAAGAGGCAAAGACTGACAGGAAGGATAAGATCACAATCCAGATGCATGGACAACTATTTGCTGTCAGTATAAAACATGAAAAGGCCACAGACACGCAGGGAAACCAAATTCGGATCCAACGTTTTGTGAAACATGGTAATGGGGCTTTTTGTTGTAACGTTTACTGAATAGCTCCGCCGTATTCTGCAGCGTTGTACTTCATCAGGGAGAAGGATCAGAAATGACCCAGAGGGATATGAATTATAGGGTGCGGCATATTCTAAAAGGAAATTCTGTGTTCATCCATCCATTGTATTATATAAATTCACCTAAACACAATAGCTGCAATTACAGGGAAGAGTCACCTTAGAAACCTTCACCTCCGATAAATCATGGACCTTCATGTGCCCCTTGATCCAGCTGATCCAAGAAGAAGGCCATAGAGGGACTCAACATTCACAGCCAGAAGTCTCCTCAGCCATCACTTCTGGTGGTACATCTGCCTGTCTATGATGAGTTTCCCATTCCTACATTCCAGGGATGTGGAGGGAAGGACTCACCCTAAAGATAGGGATTTGGGATAAGGTGCACAATCTGCTTCTCTGGTACAATATGGTGGCTTCACCAGTTTCTAGAGTCTTGAGGGTGGGAGGGGATCTCAGAATTACATTTTCTACATTATTATTATTATTAAACAGGAGATATATGGCGCCAATAGTTTGCGCAGCGCTGTACAATATAAGGAAGACATTACAATCACAATACAATTCAAGACAAGATGGTAAGGAGGGCCCTGCCCGTGAGGGCTTACAATCTAAAAGGTAGGGGCCAGTGACACATGAGGAGGGAGCTGCATGGGGATGATTGTTTGAGAAAGTGATGGTTCAGTGGTCAGGTTGAGGTGGGATCGGCTTCCCTGAAGAGATGAGTCTTAAGGGATCGCCTAAAGGCAATCAGTGTGGGAGATAGACGGACAGGTTGGGGTAGAGAGTTCCATAGGATGGGAGAGACTCTAGTGAAGTCCTGGAGACGAGCATGGGAGGAGTTGATGAGGGAGCTGGAAAGCAGGAGGTCTTGTGAAGAGCGGAGGGGGCAGTTAGGGTAATACTTTGAGACCAGGTTTGAGATATTAAACCATCCTTGTTGTCTGTCATGTTGATGCTTCCAGCTAGGGCGTGCACCAAGGTTTTACTCGTTTGTCTTTTCTTCAAGTCCTGACTGCACATCTTATCTTTTAGAAGGGGAATCTATCGCGTTGCCAACACACTGGGAGACGATGGGTAAGACCCCTGTGATGGAGGTGGATGTCGCTCCCGGGACTTCTGAATACACCACTGTACAGCAGAAATTCCAGCAAAGCTGCAGAAACATAATACTGAAGGTAATGTCTCCAATACATTGTGATGGATGATGTCAGATGTCAGTGATAGAATTCTGGGTGGGAGTGATGGTCTGCGTATGGTGTAGGGACTGGGCATACAAACATGGCACTGAGGACTAGTGCTGAGCAGGTGTCATGGAGTAAGTGGAACCTCCATGTCACCATTTAGATAGAGATGCAGGGTCACACCGTTGCTGGATGATGACTGATAAATTCCCTGGTAGGGGCTCCTCTGGTGATTGCTGCTACAGACTGGACCAGGGACATAACTAGAAATCACAGGGCCCCATAGCAATATTTTGTGTGGGGGCCCCCAAACCACTCCCAACCTACCCCCACGAATAAAAAAAAAAAGGAAAAATAATGCCACGTAGTCCCTGTCAGCAGAGGGCATGCTGGGATATAGAGTCCCTGTCAGGAGAGGGCATGCTGGGATATATAGTCCCTGTCAGGAGAGGGCATGCTGGGATGTGTAGTCCCTGTCAGGAGAGGGCATGCTGGGATGTGTAGTCCCTGTCAGCAGAGGGCATGCTGGGATATATAGTCCCTGTCAGGAGAGGGCATGCTGGGATGTGTAGTCCCTGTCAGGAGAGGGCATGCTGGGATGTGTGGTTCATGCTGGGATGTGTAGTCCCTGTCAAGAGATGGCATGCTGGGTTGGCTTGGAAGTTTCATTGGCCTGGTGCCATTACTAGAAGCTACTTCCCTTGTCACCCAGCTGCCAAAGTTGCACTTTATTTGCAGTTCTTTTTGGCACTGTGTCCTGTGCTCTCATTTAACTCCGCACTGATCTTAGCCAGGGCCGATTCTACAGGAAAGGGGGAACACATCGGCTGCGCTGTGGCCGGAAGTCACTTCCGGTGGGAGAAGTTCTCAGCAGCAGCCAAGACTATCCAGGCTGAATTCTGAGAGCACAGGGGCTCTCTCCCCCACCGCCTACCTGTCTTTACTGACCTTGCATGGCCTCGATCAGGCTGGGAGGACTATGAGCCCTGCTCCTGACTGGGCCCCCTCTGCCTTGGGCCCCATGGCGGCCGCATGGGTCGCTGTGGTGGTAGTTCCGCCTCTGGACTGGACCCATGTAAAGTGCTGAGATGGTAGACCTTGCCAAAGGTCCAGAAAGGCAACAGCAAACGGGTACAGAGATGCATGATACTGTGGTCATCTCCTAGTGCAACATCAGAATACAGAATGAGTGGTCAGATAGCAATCAGATGAAGTTCAGCTCAGGATTTACAATCACAACCAGGGTCTATGTTCAGGTTTGGTTATGACGGTATGGAGGAAAGAACTGTAGTTCTCAGAATACAGTCTGAGAACTACAGAACAGGCAGGCAAACCTTTACCAGAATATTCCACCCATAGCATGATGTTGGAGCTGTCTGATACTTGGTCTGCCACTGTATTCTTCATAGCCTATGTCTTCTCCTGTGTACTGGGTGTATATTATATACAATGTATACATCTCAGCCCGTCCATGTCCTGTCCCCCCAGATTCAGCGTGTACAGAACAGAGATCTCTGGCTCAACTACCAGATAAAGAAGCAGAACATCGACTCCAAGAACGGCTCCACCAACAACGAGAAAGAGCTTTTCCATGGAACCGACGCCAACTCCATCCAGCATGTCAATCATAACGGATTCAACCGGAGCTACGCAGGGAGACATGGTGAGAGATGTCAGGGGAGCAATGACAGTTTATTAGCCATGTCTGTAATGTGTATAAATGTAGATCGATGGGGGAGCCCTCCGCACACCTCGCAGCAGTCCCGGGCACAACAAGAAAGATGGTGCTCGTAGTGATAACCACGGATGGCGCGGCGCAAACACAGAACAAAGAAGCAGATCACCAGCACTCAGCAGTAAAGATGAATATGTCCTTTTTTATTGGACAAAGAAGTCACGTCTTTCTGCGGAAGGGACCCTGTGCGGTCCCGAAACGTCGGCTTTTCTGATCACTGTGACGTCTTTGTCCAATAAAAAAGGACATATTCATCTTTACTGCTGAGTGCTGGTGATCTGCTTCTTTGTTCTGTAATGTGTATAAAACATCTGCATGTGTTACGTGGTACAAAGAATATAACCGGCTATTAATATCATGAGGCAATAACAATGTAGATTGATGATGGGGGGGGGGGGCACAGGTCTTTTTTTTTTTACCTGACTGTGTAACTCTGCAGCTGACTTCATGTTGGACACCAGAGCCGCTTCTTCTATATATACATGTCATAACATATCTCCATCAGATCCTCATTGTTGTCGCTGGTCTGGGTGGGGAGATTTCCTCTAACTTCCTATCCTAGTGACACCATTTCACTCCCAGACATTCAGGTTTTCACCAGAACAGGGAATGGCGGGAAATCTCCCCAACAGGGACACAGACAGCAATATTAGCCTTCACTGTGAGAATTGTGATAGTCCAGAGAGAGTATATTAGTCGCAGAGCTTTAAGACAATGCCAATGCTCGGCCTTCATCGGGGCTTTAGACTTTTAGCTGAAGGCAATCTGGATCCAAGATAAAATCCTTACACCAGTGATTGGAGCAAGCTGCAAGTCAATATATAGGTTTTAAGGATTGTATCTTAGATACAGATTTCTATAGGCTAAACATGTTCCCTTCCACCAAAATGTGTTGGCATGTTCTTCAAACCGATGAACTCTGTCTAGACCAGTGGTCTCAAGGTACCGGCCCGCGGGCCAATTGGGGCCTGAGAGCCAGTACTATGTGGCACGCAGCCAGCTCACAAGTCAGGTACGTGGTCACAGACCGCATACCAGATTTGCTGGAGCAGCTACACGGTCTGCATCCCTGATGCTGCTTCTGTGCCGGCACTCGGATCCTTTCAGCCAGCGCTCTGATATCTTTCAGTGAACGCTGGCCAGGTACCTAACCGGATATAATTACATTTTATTTTAAAGTATGACATTTGGCAAGCGGCCCCCGTGAGAGAAAAAAAATTGGCGCTCTCTTCTCTTTCTATTTGAAGACTCTCCCCAAGAACCCAATTTATGCCATGGCCCACTACTGTGCTGTCTGAATCCAACAAGGACTCCTAGACCCAGCTAGTATACCTACCTAGAACAGAGTCCGGAGCCTCACTACCTAGTTACTCTGACAGAGACTGTAACACTCCCCCACTCCATCCAATACTGGTCTTTAATATATTTCTTCCTTGATGTATCCTGTGTGTTGTGAGGTGTATCTCCGAGCCCATTCACACCACATCCTCTGAGCTGCATTTCCCAAGTCTAATGCAGTGACAAGCTGAAGTCCATTGTTTTCAATTGATCCCGTTTACACCAATGAACATGCTGCATTTAAATGCAGAGCAATGCGCTGCAAATTCTACCTTAGTGTCTTCTTCTTTCACTGGCACCTCTAGGTCTTCTCTCCTGCTGCTCCTCTTCTCTGGAACTCTCTCTTTAAGTGATAATAATGTGCGATGTCTTTCTTCCCAAACAGCTGCTGCTTTTGGAAACGGAACATATTTTGCAGTACATGCAAGTTACTCTGCTAGCAGTGCATACGCCAAACCTGATGCAAATGGGCAGAAACACATGTACCTGGCCCGCGTCCTCACCGGACAATACTGTCGTGGACAAGCTGGGATGATAATACCTCCTACCAAAAGTACAGCCAATGTCACCGACCTGTATGACAGCGTGACCGATAACATCCACAACCCTTCAATGTTTGTGATATTTAATGACATCCAGGCCTACCCCGAATATCACATCACCTTCCAGTGATGATGTATTACTGTGCCG